GCATGGAATGCGGGCAATGCATCAAGAGCTGTAGACCCAACTTGGCAGCCAAATGTGCATGGGATGTACCTCAGCTTGTCCTACTCCAGTGCGGAACCATAGTTGTTGGCAGGCGAGGACTGTTGAAGTGAGTGGCAACAGTACAGCTACATCTGTGTCTGGGATGGATGTGATGATCCTTTTGTGGCATGCGATGCATGTTTCGCATGGCAGAAGTAGCCTTAGTGTCTGCTTCTCTGATCTGGAGGTGCTAGCTCGCTCAAGTGTCCTTTGATAACTAGAACCGCCTTCTGACATTCTGAAACCACCGCAAAGACAATTGCCTGGCCGAGTTGGCAGCTTCTCTTGCGCCATGTGACACCACGTTTTCGCGACAGGAAGGCACACAGATTGGTCTTGTTTGTGGATTGGCAATGTATTTCGGCCACTGCTTGGGAATTGGTGTTGCTCGGACTCTGGATTTTTGAATCTCTAGGGCCAGTGGATGCTCCCCGTTTGGCACGCTCTCCAGCTTGTTGACATGCTCCTGTACTGCGTCCATGATCACATCAACTCGCATGCATCCCTTCTGAGCAAATGTGCAGTGATGAGACTGTAGTGCTTGGACGCGAGCTCTCAAAGTTTGACACACCACCAGACTTTAACATCTGTCAGCAAAGGCCATACCATCAATCAGATGTGCAGTTGTCCATCCTTTGCATCGGGTGCGCTGAAGTTCTCCCTAAACATCCTACCCTGCGTCTCCATCTCCGGACGAGAAGCACACTCTTGTGGTTTTCTGAGATTGCCATCCGAGTGCTACGATGGGAATAGGGCACTGTCGAGCAGTCATAGCTCAGGGACCTCTTTCAGGTGATGTCCCTAGACTTATACAGAAAATCACATAGACGGCCCAATAAGTGCACGAATCAGCAGCAACAGGTGATTGTTTTGCGTCATGGCTGGTCTTGGATTTCTCTTCTCCTTGCATGTTGGTGAAGTCCTGATCTTGAGATTGGGTAAGGCATTCCAAAGAGCCACCTCATCGGTGTTGAAGCCTTTTCTCCACAAATGTCGTCATCTGTGCTGGTGCCTAACTCATAGCAGGCATCATGTAGGCGTCTTGTATACATCTTGTGGCATTACACACTCCTGTTGGCAATGTTGGATAAGGGTTAAGGGTCATCACTGTCATTTTCACTTCATCAAAAGAGGAATGGGTCTGTCATGAGGCCTGATGTGATTGCTTAGACAAAGCTCAGTGTGACATCTTCCCTCATCTTCTCTTCCGTCTGTTTTTTGGGGCCTGCTCTTCCTTGGTGTGTTCCCAGCTCAATCAGAATCTTGCACGGCCACACATCTCCTTCTATTGTGCTGTTGTGATAACAGCTCTGTTCGTGGGCTGGTTTAAAGAACGCAGCGTTCGGCAGTGCTCTGGTGTTCGTGACTGATGCCGATGATGCCACCCTTGGTTTTGAGTCTAGGTTGATGCGATTGCTCCACAGGCCACTATCAGCCGCACTCCTGAGCAAAAACGGTCTGAGCAGACCCTGCTGACAGCGCAATCGGTTTCCAGGTGACAAACTTCTTTGTGAATGGCAGGATGTGTGTCCAACAGCTGGTTCATGCTCGGTGATGTAGACAGGTAGCATCCGGGAATAGTTTGGCCTGGTCTTATGGCGAAGACGTGGGGTGCATGCAGAAGTTTGGTCCTCTTGCTCTGTGACACTGCCTAGAAGCAGCTGGAGCCATAGCAACATAGTGTCATCCCTAGATAAGCAAACAGGTGAGAATTTAGCGCGCGATCCTCATTTCTTGAATGTGGTGAACTGCTGTCCCATGCTCTACTCATCGTTCTGCGTCAGCTGTTTTAAGTTTCCTTGACATCTTCTGCCTTTCCTGAACATAGCTTCTCTACAAAACTCCTTGGTCGTATTCTGCCACTGCTTCCTTATTCTGCCACCACCAACATCATTGCCTCTGACAGCCTTCGACTTGATATAAGCTTGCCAACTGAAGACGGAATATGTGCTTGCCATGCATCCAGTCGATGTTGCAAAACTCCTCGGGTTGTAGGACTTGCCCTTTGAGCAGTGAGCGCGGTGCCACTCCCATACACTCCCGATCTCGATCAAGTAGATCCTCTATTCCCGATCCATCATATTTCTTTTCCAGGAGGAGTAGGTAGTTTATGGCTACATGCGAGCGCTCAACATGCAACATGACTCATGTTTGAACAAACTTCCTTCGCGTAGGCCCGCCATTTGATTTCTTTGGCTTTGACATAATGGCGAGGTTCGAACGTTATGACGCTGTCTTTCGTGGCAAGGCTCGCCATCATGGCCTCCACATTCTTAATGACAGTTACACGTACCGGATTCTGTTGGGATCCATTATCATTGGGGCATGTAACCAACACTGGTTGTAGGCGTTGGTATAACATTGAATGGGACCATGGCCATTTGAATCACTTCAGCTAAGGTAACAGCTGCTGAATCTGAGACTATGTGGTGTGAGTTCCACTCAAAACCAGCTTTTTGGGACAGAGTCGCCAACGCCCATCGGCAGGATATCCACACAATCAGCCTATAATGCGTGACACAAAAATTGCATTCTAGCATCCAGAGTGAAATCAATATATACTTCAATGGTTTTATGCTGCTCACTCTGTTCGTTGTACTCTGCACCTCTGAAGCTTCGCACTAAAACTTGATATCATGCCAAATCATGTGATAATCTATTTATATAGAGTGGTGATATATTTTGAGTAGTGGTTATATCACATGGTTATAGCTATATATAACATGTGCTATCCATCCCAGTCAGTGGCTCATGTTGGAACATTCATTCATTTTGTATGTTTTACCTTTTTTATGTTTTTCCGCTTTGACCTGTAGTGACTTTCTAAGGCGGTTAACATTATATTTGTGTTAATACAGTATGCTAGCAAATTTCAATAAGGATCTATTGGTACCAAAACTTTTAAATTTGGTAGAATATTGGCAAAGATATTTAGCAGTTTGTTACCCCAAGTTACCCCTACCCAGAAATTTGAATGGTCATCATGTCACGGATTTCATTCACTATTCCATTTGCTGCCATGGGTTAGCCGTTCAAGATGAATAGTTTATATTTACTGGACTCCTTATATGGTTACCCTAGGGTAAAATAAACATAAGCAAACTCACGTAGCAACATTTTATTTATATTTGGCAATCGTTACTGCAGTTTAAGGAAAAATGCCCGCCACGTGACCTTTTGACCTGTAGTGACCTCTTAAGTGACCTCTTAAGTAGGTTAACATTTTTTTTATGGTAGCAATTTCTAAGACGGACCCATTGGTACCAAAATAATTAAAATTGGTTGATTATTAGCAAAGATATGAGTTGTTATGTTATTTATACCCCACATTTTTTAACGGTGTCGCGTCACCCACCCTTGTCTATAAAATGGCTTCTAGCACAAAACTGATACCACAATTGGAGACTACATGTATACTACCTGGGGGTGTTCCAGGGGGTCTATTCGACCATCCTGTTAAGTCAAACCTTAGATGTAGTGATGGTTGAACCAATTTCATTTTTAGAGGTTGTACAGGAATTTGCTCCTGGACTAATTCAATGAGACCTGGAATACATTTTGCATGATATATTCAATTGCAGCTTCAATTTTTATTTAATGGGTATATAGTGATAATTGTAGCCAATGCCATTTAGTATCCAGTCATATGAGTCACACTGCAATAATATTATTATACATCTGAATGATCTGATCATAAGTGGACCAATTGATATATAATAATATTATTGCACTGTGCAGTATGACTCATTAAGTATGAGTGAATACCCTGAAACGCGATATCTTGCATTTTTATAAACCAAATTTTTTTGCCAATGTCAAGACTCATGCAATTTAAGAAGATTAACTAGTCACGATGACTGTCCTGATTCATGCAAAGTATTAAGTTTACAGGTTGAAATAAAATAAATTTAAAGATATCTCTCCTACAGTAACTGTATGTTTTTGGGCAGTGGCGTAGTTGGGGGAGGTGGGGAGTGGGGATCCATGTTGATCCAAAAGTTTAAAAAAAAGACAATTGTCGTAGTCAGAATGAAGGCTGTACATGTACTCAAAAGTGCAGCAAATACCATCTCCTGCGATC